TTTTTTTCTTTTACAGTCATGCCATTAAAAAAAAGCAAATGGCTCTAAAACAGAAGTACAAGATTTAAAATACTAATAATCCAATTTTTAAGCATCTACTCCATGATTAATTTTTCTTATTAACTCCTCATATCAGAACTGATTTATGTTTGAAAGACATGCCCTATGCAGAGGATAAAATCTGATGACAGAATGATAATATTACCTTTGAAATCACTTGCTTCCTCAATTTGGTAAGAACTTTTTTACTGACAAGCAAACTCAGGAATGAGAAAGTGTTTATTATCTTGAAGAAAATTATCAGCAAAATTATGCATATCTTTCACCTTCTAATCTATTAAGCATAAATCTAAAATTAATAAACAAGTTAAAATAAATACAAATTAGGACGCTCCTAAAACTACATTTATGTTTGTCAAATTATTTAGAAAAAGTGGACCTACAACACAATTAGTTAATGCATGACTAAATCATGCATGAATGCATAAACAGTAAGAACCTACTTCTTTGTAAATTTGTAACGATTATATGCTAACACTGAAGATATGTTAGTACTTGACTATATTACTCTATGTTATCACTACACTTTTCATTCCAAATTCCTTCAAAACACCTAAGAAAGGCAAAGAAGTGCATATAAATCCCATGTGGACTTTCTAAACCTGTATGAACAGATGGATACATGCTGAAGACAATGACAGAGGAAGCAAGATGGGGCAGGTGGGAGGGAGGGACAATGAGGACGGAAAGACTGATGTAGAGCAAGCAAGACAGAGCGGGAAAGATGGGCACAGGGAGCAGAAGAGAGGGGCAGAGACTGAGAGAGACCCAGGCAGAGCAGCAGGCAGAGACTGACAGAAGGAAAGCACAAACATGTGTAGGGCAGAGAGAGCAGACACGCAGTGAGAGGGAGAGCAAGAGCATGTGCATCAATGTGAGCACAGCAACAAGCAAATACTCAGCCAGGAGAGCACGTGTCATGAAGAATCTGCAGGAAGGACATGGGGACAGGCAGTAGAGCACAACAGCATGTGGCAGAGAGAGATAACAAAAGAAGACATTGTTTTTTGAACACGTTCAGGTATGGTGACTCCACCACCTCCCTAGACTGTCCATTCCAGTGCTTAACCACCCTCTCTGATGTCCAACCTGAAACTCCTCTGGCGTAGCTTGAAGCTTAGTCCTCTTGTGCTGTTGCTAATTGCCTGGGAGAAAAGACCAAGCTCTGTCTTGCTGCAACCTCCTTTCAGGTATTTGTAGAGAGTAATAAGGTGTCCCATGAGCCACCTTTTCTTCACTAAACACCCCTCAGCTTCCTCAACTGCTTCTCATAGGACTCGTTCTCCAGACCCTTCACCAGCTCTGCTGCCCTTCTCTGGACACACTCTAGCACCTCAATGTCTTTCTTGTCATCAGGGGCCCAAAACTGAACACAGAATTTGAGGCATTGCTTCACCGGTGCCAACTACAGGGGGACAATCCCCTTCCCTAGTCCTGTTGGCCACACTATTGCTGATATAAACCAGGATGCCACTGGCCTTCTTGGCCACCTGGGCACACTGCTGGCTCACGTTTAGCATGAGCCTGCACCTCCAAGTCCCTTTCCGGTTTCCTTTTTGTGTTCAACTAGTAACTTGGAGTCATGTCTTCAGATATGTTGTCTCATGCTCATAAATATTTAGAAGCTGTTTTAGCATAATTCAACTATAATTGCTTTAAAACATAACATTAACATATGTGTCTGAGGTATCTAAATTTGCTTCAAGAAGTTTCTTTCACAGCAGTTCTTACCCTTCTGTGTCTATATCTCCAAACAGAAGAAACCCACAGTGAGAATATACTGATGCTTAATTATTTATACATGAGCGTTCAAATCTTGTATGATTTATTTGGGGGCTTTATTCATTGTTTTCAGGTAAAAATTCTTGGCATAAGTGTCAATTACATACTTGATGTAAAAGTAACCTTATTCTCTTCCTAAAGATGTAACACAATTGAATTCTCTATTTTAGAAAGAGCTGATAACCTTTATTGGTTAATTTAAATAGTCATCTGCCAAGCAAGACTACTACGATTAGCAATGCCATGTCATTTTAGTTGCTTTTTTAACCCTATATCCTGTATTCACTGAAGACTTCATATATGGTTCCACTTTTTGTCTCTTTTTGTAGGAACATTCAGGCATGGCCAGTACAATCCTGTGTTCCTGTGTTTCAGTTGCTTGAAAACAATACTCTAATTTTCCACTTTCAAACTTAAATGAGCAACAAACAGTATTACTTTGTGACATAACATTTTTCACAGCAATTACATACAGGGTGAGATGCTTCAAAGCTATAGCAATGATATTTTACTCTTAGAGATATTCCACTTTTTCTTTACTTATCCATTTGAAGTGACATTTTCAAACTATTATAGTAATTCTCTTGCAGTGCTCAAGAATTTTAAAAATGCCTACAAATTAAGTCACACTTTCACTACTTGCATGGGGCTTTAGAAGATACTCAGTGCAAGGATATTCTTGTTGAATAACTTAATATTTCGACCTACTGCATAATTTTGCGATTCAAGAGCCATTACAAAAGGTGAAAGCTTTGGAGAAGATACATAGAACTTTGTGCATGAAACATTTCATTTCATTACCTAAAGGTCCAGAGTGTAAACTAAACTATTTAAAAGATGCACACCTTCTACATGGTTATTTCATTTGGGAATGACAGGGACTTTATTTGTGTGTTTGTTTGATCAGCCCTGTAAGTCTTCATGGTATTTGGAATGTTGGATGCATTTGCTAAAAAACAAAATATTTAATTAAGCATGCCCCAAAAAAACCCCAAATCTCTGATAGCTTAGTTCACAGTCAGGCAACTTAGGTTCATCATGTCAACCTTCTTTGCACTTGTCTATTATAAAGAAAGTATATTTTTCACAAGAAACATTTAGACAAAGACAACAACAATTTAAAAATTCTAAGACTTCCCATATTCCCAATGACAAGGAATATAGACCTCTAATGCTGCTGAGCCCATGAGGTAAATTAAGGATAGTGGATTTCATTCAAAACGTCCTTGAGAGCCACTTGCTTTCTGAAAAATTTGGAAGAAAGATAACCTGTGAGGATGCGTATGTTCTAACAAATGTTACAAATGTTCTAACTGTTCTAACATATAAATGTACTAACCATTCAACTCATTCAGAATTAGACAATTGTCCATAATATAGTTTTACATACAGTGAAATTAAAATCAATTATCTGATTCCCAGCTATAAAAGGCAAATTTCATAATAAAATCTCTATAATGTACTTAGAAACTTATCAAACAGGCACTGTGTAATCAGAGATAGGAAAGAAAGAGGGGGAGGAGGAGCGGGAGAGGGAGAGAGAGGAGGAGGGACAGAAGAGGAAGGAAAAGAAGGAAAAGGGAAAAGGAGAAAGGGAAGGAGAAAAGGAACTTCACAGTGATATGGACTGAACCTTTGGTATTGTTTGCGTAGGCACAGAGTAACCAAGTGTAACTGAAGCTGTCAGGCAAACAAAAAGTAGGTTTACAACACTGCACCACCAACGAGCTATCCAGCACATACATTGCTATGTGTTATCTATACCACAAGCACTCTGTACAAATGTGAAGCGCAACTTTTTATATTTCTGTTTCTCTTCATCTTCTTAAAAGGAAAGAATAAATAAGCTGTCTTGCAAACGCTTCTGTCATCATTGTAAGGTCAAAAAAGAATAGAAGTTGGGATGGGACAAAAAATAAAAAGCAACAGCTATCACTGAACAGCTATCACTGAATAGAAAAGTAGCATCTAAAAGCTGGTGATTTCCATGACAGCTTCTTTGAAAAGACGCCACCTGTGGAACTTTTAGCACTGTTTTAAAAGTGTTCATCACTATGCTGGGGAAGCATTTGCAACATCCCCTTTGTTAGAGATACACAGCTGTGCCAACTAAAGTTCATGGGAATCTGAAGGTGTTACATATTATTGCTTTATTAGAGAAACACATAATTTAAATCTTTGTCATATTAAAACGCACGTATGCAAGAGGGCAACAATGAGAAATTTCCAAGTTAGAATCTGTCTTTCTTGAATGTTTAATTTTGTAACGCTATTCCTGCCATTACATACTACATCTAGAATACAACACCTATAATAAATTCAAAAGGGTTACTACAGAAAAGTACACACACAATGTAATACTTGCATTGTCTAATGTCCTTGCATTTCTCTTGACTACCTTTCCTCTGATTCAGACAGAAGAGCACAATGAAAGAACTAGGAACTCACTCTGCCTTTTGTTCTCTCACTAGGAAAACAAAATATTCTGCCTTTAAAAACAATGTATTCTGTACAGCTATAAAGACTAAGGTATAGTTTGTATAGAAGAAGATATAACAAACTTAAAAACAATAAGGAGGCATTGCACAGCAATTTCATTTTATGTATATTTTCAATTGATTTCTCTTTTTCCCCCCACTGTTTCCACTAACAAAATTAATATTTTGAAACATAAACCTATAAACCTACATAAACCAAATAGTTTCCATATTAAGGTATTCTAAGTAGCAGTTTCTTTTAAATTAGAACCGCTAAAAATCACAGTTAATTCTAAAACTATAATACAAAAACATCTGATACAGTCAGATTGCTGATACAAGTAGCAGCATAAGAATCTTGGGCTTTTTTTAATTTGTCTTGCTTAAATTAAAGGGAGGAGGGGGGGCACAGAGTGATATTACATTTCAAATATAACATTTGAATTTTTCCATGATCATATTCCTGACAGTTATTTAACACTATTACTGCAGAATTAAAAGTTCACATCATCTCTGAAATACCATATACAACAGTATAAATGGAAATTATTCCTCTTTCAACTGTTCACTGCAATAGTTTTGAAGATTTTTGTTCTCCACACATTCAGAGAAGTCTAGCTTCTTATTCTATTTCAGTTGCCAAAAATGAAAACAAGAATCAGGATTATCTTAGACTCTAACCTGAAATGCTGCAGCCTCTGGCCTGCCCTTCAGCCCTTCCTCTGAAAAGGTCTCTAAGTGCAGTTTGGGTAGCTCCAGGGTGAAGTCATTCGTGGCTGCTGCAGCACATGGCAGCAAGGCCTGATCTCTGACCTAAAGGGAAAAAAACAGCATCAATGGTAATTCCCCTTCAGACACATTAACTGGGATGAACTGGGTCCCCTTGAGCCCACTGAGTGGACTTGCATTGATCGCTGGACCTGAAATCCATGAATAAATTTAGGACTAATTGATTTTTCGTTGCAAATAAATCTCTAATTCCGAGTGCTGGGAGAGAATGTTAAGAAGAAAAAGCATCTTCCCCTGGTCTGAAACGAGAATAAGAGACACTAAAGGTTCACTAGTCCAGCTGGCATATACATTTCACAGATCTGTCCCCTGTAAAAACCCCATAAGAAAACAATAGTAATTGTACTTCTAACTGAAACAAACATGAGTTATGAAATTAAAAAGTTCATGCGATCACACCAGCAAGAAGCTGGCATGTGAGTTCTGTGTACTATAGGGAGATTGCATCAGTTCTCCAGAATAAGGTTCATTTAGTAGCAATTCAGTTAAAATCCAAAATAAAATGAATAATCCACAAACAAAGCAAAGCGAACTAACCTGTAGCTTTCCAATTAACAAGGGTAAAAAAAAAAAAAAAAAAAAAAAAAAAAAAGGAAAAAATGCTACTAGATCTCTTATTGCAGGCTCACTGTAAGAAATAACGCACTAAGTGGTATTAATCGACTTTTGTACAGTTTCTGACCGTGCCAATTTGAAGTGGGAAATGCTACAATTTGCACAAAGCCCAGACAGATTGATGTCCAGTCCTTCGGAGGGCGGTCGGACTCGCGGAGCGCGGGCGGCCCCGCGCAGCCCCCGCGCCCTTGGTGTCGCACTGCCACCTGCCGGCCGCGCGCGGCAGCACCGCCGCCGCTTTGTCCTCGGGCACGGACAAACATCGCACTCTGCCCAAAATCCAACACTGCACCCCGTTTCGCAACGTGTCCAGAGTCTGTCAGCGTGGACGTGAAATTATATGTATTTAACACGTAACTTCCACAGGCGCATCAGCTATGTTCGTACACCATATGATGCCACACACCCATTTTTCATTCTATTTAATACAGAAATTACCATGTCCACCTCCAGGAGACCCCAGTAGTCACATTAGATTGTAATACAGATGGATAGTCACACATACAAATATATATTAGTACAAATGAATAGATGAAATCCATTCATTAGGCATAGACTGCATGTGTTGAGTAGCAATAGCAAGTGTTGTAAACATAGTCTTTAACTAAACAATATACAGTCTTATAATAAAACATAAACTGAATATATACCAAATACCCATAACTCAATAGATAAACCATTTACTAAATATTATTTAAATATATTTCAGTTTTTCTTAAAGGCTCTCTTGCCCACAAGAACACATCGAACATGAATTAAAACCTAGGTCTATTAATTTTAAATCCCAGATTACTTTTCTGTAACTACTTACAAAATTAAATTTTTGTAAAATGTTGATTATGAGTGAACATCTTTCAAATAATAGCAGAGCCTTTGAAATCTTCTCTGATTGAAAGAAGCTGTGCAAATCTACTGACACAAAGAAGAAAAGATTTTATGTTATTCATTCCTCTGTTCTGTGGGAATAGGGAGCCCTACATTTCCCAAGTTGACCTAAAGAATTCCTGTCAATACCTGTGGCTGCCAAACATATGCACTATGATGCAATTTTTATAACAGGAAAGGTCCTCTACACATTTTTTGCACACATAGTGCACTAGGTTCAGGATATACAGTCCTATGGAACAAATATACTCTCTAGAGTGTTCTGTCAGCATGTGTAATTCTGGTCAGATGTTAACCTTGCTGAATATAACAAAATGCATTGCTTTAAATACACACACACACACACACGATTTACATTTTTATAGCTTATATATACCAACTTTTCAGTGTCTTTGCTGCCAGTATGCACACAGATAAAAGAAAACATTAATGTGGATTAAGGTACTAAGAATTTATCAACATCAAACCACCAGTGTTTTGCCTTCTACCCTTCTGAACCATAGTCAATAGATCTAAATATTTTACTGCACCCTGGCCAATTCATTGTTTGATGTTTAAAAACTCAAACAGAATCAAAGAAAATTTATTAAATTTCAGCCCCCAAATGAGATACTATTAGCTTTGAAAGTCAAGTTTAACCGCGATATTGATGATTCTCTTTTTTCTGTGACAAAATTCACAAGGGAAATCCCTATGTCAAAGTACAAAAGCAGATTGCTAATACTAGGGGGAAAAAAACAATGTATAAGCAATGTAGGTATAATACATACACAGTACAGACAGTAGAAGTCCTTTTAACCCTATTAGTTTCAAACTCTCCATTTCGGTATTGGGGCCTGACATTCACTGAACAATAAAAAATAAAACCCATTTTTTAAAATGGCTGCATTTTGATAAACATATGCCATTAATACCACTGTTTCAGAAAAGTACATATTAGCTTCTTAAAGATTACAATATTTGACAGGAAGATCACAACCAAAAAAACCCAAACACAACATTTTCTGTTTGTAAATACTTAGCTTGTAAAGAGTAAATCTCATTATCAATATGCATACTGAGAAATACCAAATTAAGGCAGACTTTTCCTTTGAAAAATACTCACAAGGATTCAGGAAAAAGAACAAAACACTGGGTGTATACTGTACAAATATCATCACATTGTTTCACTAGAAATGAAAATAGTCTTCAAGTTGGCTACCTGTTAAAAGACTGGAAAACTACAACGGCCATGCCTACACAGAATCATGCTGCATAGACTATACTTGTACAAAACCTTAATTAAAAACTAATTTAATAACTTCTGTCGATTGGCTTTTTGAGATCCGGAAATATAATGACAAGAGTTGGGAAACTGAGTTTATTTCCTCATTTTCTAATGGAGCAAGCACAATACTCACAGACAGACTTACATTAGAGAACTATGATGCAAAGGTCAAACTGGTAATTTTATTTTTTTAAAAAAGAGGGGGGTTTTTTTGGAAGCTTGACAGCCAGGAAAACCATCCTATGTAGTTTAGCTTTAAGATGCAACTTTCAGAGTTTTTTTTGTATTTAACGACTTTCTTTTTTATATATATATGAACTCTAAAGCAAGGCTATTTTGTCTGAGGCATCTCCTTAGGCTAGAGATATAATGTTAAAATCTAAAAAACCTAATCAGCTAATCAGGCTTACTGCAATGATTAAAAATGTCTAAAACCAGTTCCACTTCCCTATACTCTAAAATTAATATAGAGAAAAATTATATAAATGTATATTTATCCAATGTTAGTGAAGATTCTGGTTATTTCTGATTTTGGTAAACATAATTTTAGCTGCAATGGTGAAAAGTTGCTAGAGTGATTTTATACTGAGCAAAGTTAAGTGCTGTGACAGTGCGTAGCTGAGTATGATCCTTAGATTTTTCAGTTTAGCCATACAGAAATACTATCCAAAACCAGGCAAAATCACAAATAGATCCACACAACTCTACTACAATACTCATAACATTTTAAAACAAAGGGGCATAGTGACTTATGATGGTGTTTAACTTTTTAATTAATTAAGACAGCAACAAAGAAGACAAGACTATAGCCACTCAAATTAAAATCAATAAAGTATTCATTAATTCAGATCAAAGCTGAAACTGAATAATAAACTGAAGTTATGTTATTGACTGAACCAAGGTGTAGAATTTGATGGGCTAATTCTGCACGTCCAAAAATTGACTTCAAAATTTTCTGCTGATTCAAGATAACAATAGCTTTGTCCACAGACCACTTTTGGGCTCACTGTGTTTTTCCTCTGCACAGTTCGAGCTGGTATGTCCAGTTATGCCAATAGAGATATGGTACTAAATGCTAGCAAGTTACAAATGGTATTAGAATGTGCCTAGGCCTTCCTAATGTCTGTGCCCAGATACTGTCTGACTGGTACAACAAACCTGAGATTTTAGTTTCTATTTTGTGCCTAATTCCATGGTTTTTTATTATGAAAATAAGATAATTTATGGATATAAATTTCACTATGTAATCTATATAGGAGAATATTTTATAAGTTCAAAGTTCACCAATTCTACTTTAAAAAAATACTACTAGAGAGTAAAAAACTTTGGGCTTATTATACTTTCATTTCCTGATACTTTTTTAATAGCATATCATCTGCAATTTAAGCAGCAGCAGAACTACAATGATGCAGTGATATGGTGATAAGTGAATGGCAAACCCTGATTTAATCTATTTGATTTGAGATGACCATATTACTGATATAACAGAAGCTACACATACACAAATCATTCTAGAAGAGTGAAAACAAAATGGCTTCTACCATACTGCTATGTGTTCTGCATATGATATATAATGGACAAAAATGGTTCTAGAACCTTTTAGAACAGAAGAAAGCAGTTTGAATGCAAACCACATCTTAGTCTTAACCACAGCCTTGTAAGTATGTGACTGATTTAGCCACATGATGTCCATACCTCCAGCGCAGCATGTACAATGGAGGCCATATTACACAAGTTAAGGACACACACGCCTACTGAACATGGTCCTTTGCCTTCTTCCATGAGAAGTATTTTAACAGAAAAAATTATGTAGTAACTAAATGGAATGGGTAAGTCTTTGTTATAGTGGTACAAATTATCATGGAACTAAAGAAAAAAAATTTATATACATTGGTGGACAGAATTAAACCTTCATGAACAGTTCTTATTTTTTTCATGTTTAGTTATGAATTATTGATATTTTCTTACTCTATACTAGAAAATATAAGTGAATATACAGGAAGGAAGTTGCACCAACAATAGTACTGAATAGTGCTGATAACAGTAGTTCTTCAACTAAATTACCAATACAGGTTATTTTCTTAATATTACATCCCAATACTATGGGCTCTCTGGAAAACAGTGATCACACTTGAAGTGTTAGCCCATTAAGGGAAGACAGACCCCAAAAGATTTGATAAGGGATTTGGCACATGCAATATCCAAAGAAGTACAAACCACAGCACCCTGCTAGATCAAAGAGTCAACCCGTTATTAT